TGTAGCACATGGTAACCAAATGTTATCTATTACAAGGTTAAACTCCAAAGTTGAAATTTAAAATCAAGCCATATCCTAATAGATTAGGAAATGGCTGATACATGAGAAAATGGTTCACGTCACTAATAATCAAGAAATATTAACGTGAGGTAACTTTTTCTAACTTTTTTTTTTTAATTGGGAAAAAACTGTCGGTACCTTCATGATGTTTGTGTAGGGGTGGGTAACAACCACTTTGGAAGGCAGTTGGCCTGGACTCATACACACATATGCATATGTCTATTTATTAAATAAAGACTTCTTACACAGAATGGTGCCCATGACCTTAAGTGAAATGAAAAAACAGAAGTAGCCTAATAATTTACCTATATTGCATGATTCTACTTTTGTGAGGAAAAAAAAAATGTTTTCTTTGTGTTTGCAAGGGGACAAGTATATTTAAAGATACACAGAAAATTGAAAGGATATACATAAAGTTAAAATTAGTTTTTTTCCAGAGGGTGGAATTGGGGTTGAGGGACAAGGGGGTACTTGGTACACTTCCATATTTTTAAAATTTGCTAAAAAAAAAATCACATTAAAAACATATATTTGAGGGGGGAGCCAGAAAATCACTGGTTAGGGAATTCTAGCCCCAGAACAACAGTCTTTTGGACCTGGAGAAGAAATGGATCCGAAAGATAGTTACATTTACGTATATACAGAGCATTGGTTTGAATGTACTTTGTAGAGTAACTAAATCCAGTTGCTGAGTTATGGGAAACTCTTCACTTAAAGATGGCTGACAGATATGACTTCTTAGTTGGCAAGAGATCAAGTTGCCAAAATCCCTAAGTCTGTGTTGACTGGCAAATACATGGAGCATAAAGGAAATTGGGGTGCTTTACAAAGAAAATCTAGCACTCAGCCCAAAAGCAATATGTATTTTAGAAGGCCACCTCTAGCCCATAAGGTCATGTGTACCGAAGTCTAAAAAGCAAGCCCGTTCAGAGAGATGCAGACTACAAATGCATACTCTATAGCCTTGAGTAGTAAGTGTCTTCTCTTATTGTTCAGAAAATATTTTTAAACTGTTCACCACACTTCATCAGACCTTAGTTAATATTGGGAGAATTAAAATGAGGAGTTTCATAGAGATTATTTGTGGAGAGATATCTCTGAATATGGTTTTGGTATACAGAAAATTGTGTCCTCAGGATCTAGTGATACAAAGATATGTAGAAAAGATGGAAATGTTTAGATTAGTATAGATTGTTATGAAATCTGTAATGTAGTGTCTTAAAATCCTTTGTTTTGATAATTTTCAAAACAATCTGAAAAAAATTCTATATGAACATGGTGCAAGTCTATTGATGCTTATTATTATTTTTAATGACAATATCTTGATTATCTTTACAGAGTTACTGGAGGTGAACTGTTTGAAGACATAGTGGCGAGAGAATATTACAGTGAAGCTGATGCCAGGTAAGTGACTTGCCCTGAGCAAGATACAAGACTCAACATTCAAATGACACTTGCTCAATATATCTCTTTATAAATATATCATAACCCTTAGTATTTATGAGACTCTCATAAAACCATCTTGGACTTCTTCTCATAAACGAGTCCCTCTTAATTGCTATTTGTCTCTCTTAATGTTTCCAAAATAATTGGTTTGGGGAAAAAAATTAGAATCTGGTCTAAATTTTGTTATTATCTAGCATCTACAGTTAGTCTTTTAAAAATGAATAATAAAATATACACTGTATTGGGAATGATTTCTGCTAAAGAGATGTACTCTTTTAGCAAAGTTAAGAGATAAAAGATTAAGATCTTCTAGTCTCTAGATCCTGAGCTGCCCATGATGGTAGTCCCTAGTGTCACATGGCTATTTTAATTTCAATCCGTCAAAATTAAAGTTAAATAAAAAATTTAGTTTCTCAGTTGTACTAGCTACATTTTGAATGCTTAATAGCCTTAAGTGCTAGTGACTACCAGTTGAAGATAGCAGATATAGAACATTTCCATCATCATAGACCATTCCACTGAACAGCCCATGTCTAATCAGAGAGCATAAAAAGAAATAGAGTACAAAAGCCCAAGTGGTCTCCTTAAAGCATTTATTAGCTGTTTAACTCTTTGGAAATTCCAGGATAGCTTTTGGAACTCTCATATGAAAAATATTTATTCAGGTATTTCAGAGGGTTCAATATTTCCCAATCTTGTTAATTGTCATCATCTTTAACAGTGGCTATACTGTACATTTTCTCTCATTTGAAACTTCCTAGGCTGCACAAAGGCAACCTTTTTGAAGTAACATTAATTTACTTGCCTAGGTACTACTTAGACTGTATCATGTTAGTTTTCCTTGATGTTTCTTTACACATATTCAGTAGTTGGCACTTATTTTGAAAACTCTAGCCTTGAGCAATTGACTCTATATTAGCCATGTAAATGAGATATTCTGAAAATTCAGTTACTTATTGTCTGCCCCCATTCTCTAATGCTGTCAGAGCTTCCTAACGCTTACTAATCCCACAGTAGCCTGCCCTCAGCAGATCGTCAGCTGATAGCCGATTCCCTCCCCATCCCTTCAAAGCAGCACATGCATACACATGCTCACTTGCAAATCTCTAATTAATCTTCTTGGTTTAATGCCAGTTTATGACATTCTGTGAACCTTATCTGTACATGACTACATGCTAATTTTTTAATGGAATTTTTACTGCCAAAGTCAAATAGAAACTTCCATGTCCCTTATACTATGATGAGTGAATCACCACTTGCTCAGTTTATCCCATTTCTTACATTCGGCCCCTGAAAAGAGGCTTCAGAGCAGCCTCGCAATTAGCTATTTGCCCACTTGCCCAAAGAGAGTAGTAATTTTAACTAAGGTAGTAAACAAGTTAGGGAATTACATTTATTTTGCTATTTAAAGTTATGTAAAACAGGTTATTATGTTTGAAAGATATTGGTTGAAATTAAAATAGAAACTGTTTTTACTATTGAAGAACCCTACAGATAACAGGGTAGACCCTATAAGTTGGATCATTTTATATGCATGTTTCTATTAAGTTTTGGATTTTACTATAAGTTAATTTTTAGGATAGGTCCTACAACAAAATCAAGGAGAAGGAACAAATCTTCCCATGTACAAACATAAAGAAAAAGTCTTTCCTTACTAGTCCTCAAGAACTTAAGAATTGAATCCATTCTCACTAGCAAAAAATGATGTAATTCATTTAATTTGAATTATTGTTTACTTCTTTATTTTGCATTATTCATTAAACCTGATGACTTACACCTGTGGTTGAAGAGAAAGTGAAATATTTCTAAAAAGTAATACAAAGTGAAGGGAAAAATTCATAGGATTTAAAAAATAATTACCAACACACACTCAAATAACCTATATAGTCAAAAAGTAAACGATGTTTAGCCCCTTTTTAGCCCCTTTAATGGTACTCTTTATAGAGTTAGCATTGGAAAATCATAACCACAGTCATGTTTTTTTTACATTCACATTGTAAGAAATCAGATGGTGATTACTTTTTATAATTCAAGGATTTACTTTGGAGTAATATTATTTTGTACATTAAGTGGTTGAAATGTCCTTATTAAAATGTTTGTTAGTGAATATACCTCTATACATAACCTGTATTTGAATTGCACAGTAAATTTGCACAAAATACATCAGTGTGATCTCTATTATTTTATGTCAGATGACAGTTCATGGGACCTTACAGGTGCCAATCAATGATTTATCCCCTTTAATTTAATTAGCAATCTGTTTGACATCAACGAGCCTTTAATAAGAATAGTATCAATTGTACTTTTTGACATTGTATAAGCAAAAGTTTTCCTTCACTGAGGTGTATGGAAATGTATCTAACAATTACTAGTGTTCCAGGGTATTAAAAAGTTTTTGTTTTTTTTTTTTTTCGTAAGTTCCTAGCCCTTCTCCGGAGTATGCCTCTCCTGAAGAGGGATTTATTTTATGTCGTGGGTTTACTGGAAATTTTCCCTCTGTTATTGAGACTTGCATTGGTTTTCCTCTTAACCTATTCTACAAGAAGCACCAATTCTAAGTCAAAATGATAAATGTGTCCCTCCATTTTTTTAACCCTCGTTTCACCTGCCACTTCATCTGTGTTTACCCTCTTGTTTCAACACCTATGTTTAATTGTGACCTCAGATTTTAAACAGTTTAGATGTGTATGAGAAATACTCATAAATTTTATATTGCTAAAGGAATTTCCCAGAGCATTATGGGAATATTTATGAATTTTTCTCCTTGAATATGGAAATTTTGACTTCTGTATACAAGTGATTTAATATGTACACTTGCAATGAAAAAAACACACAGCTCAAATTGTTTTGTCTGAACATGTCACAAACTCTATGTTGGATGTCATTTTTGTTAGAACCAGAATTAGCTTTATTCAGCGTTATTAAATTCCAATGTAAAGCTAAAAATATGTTGTGAAAATATAATTTTTGTTTGTTTGTTTGTTTCGTTTTAACTTTCATTTTATTTTGTATTCAATGTGATTATGTACCTTTAAAATGTTCTCCCTTCCATTCTGCCCTTGTATCTTTACAGTCATTGTATACAGCAGATTCTAGAAAGTGTAAATCATTGTCACCTAAATGGCATAGTTCACAGGGACCTGAAGGTCAGTATATGGAGTCCATAAATCTGAATCAAAGGAGGTTTTTTTTTGTTTGTTTGTTTTATTTCTGGGGAAAGGGCAGAGGGTGGGTATTTAAAATGGTTCCCTTGCCTTTCCCAATTTTTCCCTAAAATGACTACATGATGAAATGATAATGCATGATGCCTCTTTCAGTTTGCTCATCTACAGGCTAAATATACATCATAGCAGAAAGGAAAGGACAATATTAAAAACACAACCTGTTAAGTTTCCAAGCAGTAAACTACCAGAGGCGGTTTGGGGGCAGGCTTTCCTGAAATGTCCAGCATTCACCTGGAGATAAACTTGGCCTGTGATGTATGTCCGCCTGTAGATTTAAACACCACTTCTGTTCTGAGACCATGGGTTGCTGTAGCAAAACAACTGGCTACACATTGCTCCATTTGAGTCTGATGAACCCTCAGGCAAGAGGTAATAATTGCCAGCTAAATTAAAGCACAAGAAGTTAATGATTTATCAAAAATTCATTACGTATCCTAATTTCACCTTAATGGTGCCTTGACTGCTAATGTGACAGCCTTTGGAATGATACTGAAAAATGGGAGAGAATAGGGAAGCAGTTTTTTTATATGGGGTGGAGGTGGACCACGACAGCTATAAAATTTCTACTTGCATTCCAGTTCTTTTCCTATAAGAATTTAGAACTAGGAAATGAGCTCCTGAATTAAAATATTTTTAAGAAGGTTTTTGTCCTCAAACACGTGGATCCACATTTTCTCTCACATCTGGCAAGATCCTGATTGCGCTGAGGTAGTAGTCACTCTACTTGAGCAATATGTTTACATTACTGAAGGTGGTAAAATACAACCCAGTTGTCTGCTGGTTTTGCACTGTAACCCAGTCTCTCTGAGGGTATACAGACAGTGAGTGTAAGCTTGGAACTAACACACGCCCCCTGGTGTTTGCATGCAGTCATTGCATTCAGCAGATCCTGGAGGCTGTGCTACACTGCCATCAGATGGGCGTAGTCCATCGGGACCTGAAGGTGAGTAATGCTGTTGGAGAAGATAAACCACCACACAATTCCTAATGACTGTTCAGCTGCAATTATGCCTGTAAAGGCAAAAATATGAGCAAGAAAGTTGTGTGGACTCATTCCAACACATTACGAAAACACATTCCCTTACCACAGTCTCGCTTATTTCATCTCTTCTCTGATACACACTTGAGACTTAAATAAATCCCATTTCATCCCGAGAAATAATGTCCTACCATTAACAATAAATAGGTTGCTATATTTCTTTCCTCCTAAGAATATAGCACTTAATGTGACTTTGAGTATGATTGATGGTCTCTTCTTCAGTCTGAACTCATTCTGTGGACATTGATCAAACATACTATTTTAGAGTCATACTGTGTATACCTAGTATAATGTAAATAGTTATGAAAATTATAAAGAGAGTAGAGATAAAGTCATTGAATAGGTTTTTGGCCCAAGTGATTGGTGCTAAAGGACCTCCGTTTTGGGCTCTGAAGTCCAAAACGTTCCAGGAATTCTGAGGACATTGAGGCTTCCTGGCTCCTTGTTTATTTACATTCCTAAGTACTAAGATACTAGTGCCTTTTAAAACAGATAGGAAAAAGGTCAAACAGATTTAATGTCAAATAATATTTATGTAACCTGTATATGGACTCATACTTTTAAGACTTCACTCAGTTTCTGATACCATTGAGGATGAGAAATGTTCAGATCACTTAGAAATTAAACAGTTCAGGGGGAGGCTTCTCTTTCATCCACTCTCTGTCCCCTTCTGTCAGCACTCTAGTTTCACTTATGGAATTTCAGGGATCTAGTGAAGGCCTAGAAATGTAAGTGAAAGCACTGGGTGGGCAAAATAGCAAATTGTGAGCACTATGCGGTTGTCATTCTTTGTTTCAAGCCTCAGCCACTTCCAGGCATTAGTACAAATGTGGCCAAGTAATGTAGAATGTCAACTGTGTGTTGACATTTAGTATGCTCTGGAAGAATATATCTCTAAGGATCCACAACGAGTTACTTGAAGATGTGATGTGTAAGCAAAGTATCACCTTAGTCTCTCAGATCTTCCTTCGATTTCAATTTGAGTCTGAGAGCTTTAAATGTCAAAAGCAAAGGTATGGTTAAGGGCATTTTCTTTTGGAGAGCCAAGATGGGACTGTGTGCATCTGCTAACACTTTACCAAATGTACCCATCAGGATTAAGGAAAAACAATATGTTCCTTTGAAAATTCATATCTTTGGCAATCACCTCAAGAATTCCCTATCAGACATGTAGAGAAAGTCCCCGTTCTGTTACTCCTCCGAGCTCTCACTGTACTACTGTCCTAAGTGAATATACATGAGCATACACATTTATTTGTACAATTTTATCAGATACTCAATTTAATACATTATCATTTGAAATATTTTACTCCATGTTATGTAATTATAAGTATACTCTAAAAGCCAAGGTTGAAAAAATGTTAATTCTCTTACATGACCTTAAAATCTATCTTGTGGGGTCATGATATTGGGCTTCTGTAAGTGTTCCAACTCAGCTGAGCTCTTCAAAGACTGGAGCTTTAATCAGAGATGGCAGTGGGTCTAGGTTGTGGGCTGTGCAAAAATATATTTTCTGACCTAGGAGTTAAATTCACTAGTTAAAAACTCAGGCAGGGGGCACCTGGGTGGCTCAGTCGGCTGAGCGTCCGACTTCACCTGAGGTCATGATCTCGTGGTTCATGGGTTCGAGCCCCGAGTCGGGCTCTGTGCTAACAGCTCAGAGCCTGGAGCCTGCTTCGGATTCTGTGTCTCCCTCTCTCTCTGTTCCTCCCCTGCTCGTGCTCTCTCTCAGAAATAAAGACGAAAAAAAATGAAAAACTCAGGCAGGTGATTTTTAGGGAGGCCTGATACCAAAGGAAATAACCTGCACATCACTCAACAAAATGTTTTTGTTCTCCATCCTTATTTTGATTTTGGGAGAGGATAGGAGTATGCTTTGTGTAGAGCTTGTTATAATTTTGGGGATTATCTTGGTTTCTGTCAAATTCCTGACTTGAATAGATTTCAGTTGAGTCTAGTTTTCAGGGCATGTTTCAGTAGGCCATTTCATAACATGATAAGAGAGTTCACAACATATTAAAAAAATATATTAGAGGAAGTTTATACACACACCCTGAGTGTGCTAAATCTCTGATTTTGTTTTATGTCTTTTATATCTACGTGTATACTTTATCTGCTAAGTATACTGCTTGTAATAGTATATTTGCCAATACATAAAATTGAAAGAGATAGGTAAATTTTTTTATTATCAGGCTTTAAACAAAAAATTTGCCCTCCTATTCTTAGGTCATATATTTTTGTTTCCATATCTTGATTCATTTGTTAATTCGTATATAATACAGATGTTTGATGCACAGTTTAATGTGTCCATATCAGTGAGAGAAAAACACAGAAAGTGTTCTGTTTTCCATCATTATTAAAGGCACCTACAAGCATATGAGTACTGTACAATTTGTTTGTAAGCCCATCCTAGAACAATAGCTATATTACTGTAATACCTACAATATCTACTTATAATACTACCTATAATACTTCACAGTACCTAATATAGGACTTCATACCTAGTAAATACTTGTGGCATATGCTTTCAATTTAGGAATGAATGAAACTCAATGAAAAGCACATTTACAATATAAAAAGCATCATTGAATAACATAGCTTTTGTGGATGTTAATTAATATTGAATAAAGAGGATAAGTATATCCTCTTTGATACAGTCATAACATAAAGATCATTATCTGAATAACTGCCACTCTTGGGAGCTTCTTAGACAGTGGAATCCACCAGATGGAAAATTATAAGGATCTAGAGACAAGGCTGAGGCATAGTAGACAATTAGAGGATGTCCTCAAACAAGCAGTAGAATAAGGTTCCATGTGGTGGGATATTAGCATAAAGGAAGCACATCAGTCAGAGCCAGACAGTATCCAGTGGATACACAAGCCTTTTGTCTAATGTGCAGCCAGTGTCAAACCTAAGCAATATTAAGGAGTATCTACCAGTAGTGACATAATTATAGTACTATAGTTGAATATGACTCCCATCTTTGGGAGAATTTGGATCAAGGTGAGATGTTAGTAATAAAAATGATAATAGCTGCCATTTATCAGGCATTTACCATGTACCCTAAACTGTGATATCATATGAATCTTAACAGCTTTATGAAGAAGGCGCTTTGATATTCCCCATGTTGCGTAAAGAGAGCTTTAGCAACCACTAGTGAAAGAACTTACTCATGGTCGCTCAGCTAGTGACATATAATTTGTGCCCAAGCATTTTGTTTCCAGTGTCTGCAGACTTAATTGCTACCATTTCTCAATTCGTTAGTTGGATAAATCAAAAACTTTACAGAGGCCGAAAAATAGGTCAAACGATGATGGGAAAGTAATTTCACCGGCAACAGTAAGAATTGGAGAAATGATTTTAAGATTTGTGAATCAAATGATTAAAATGATTCTGCCTGTGGATGTTCCAGAACCACACAAAATCTGTATCATTAGGAATAAGAGAATAAGTTACTTTTTAAGATATAATATGGAGTGGAAGGGGACAATATAATTTGCCAATAGATTGGTGTCCAAAGTATAAATTTCTTATTCAGGAAATCAGTAAAGTGGCATTGGTCCCAGCCTTGGGAAAATGAGGCATAGAGAAGAACGATATGCATTTACCACATGTAATTTAGGCCACATCAGACAATCAGTTTGAAGTACCTAAAAATAGACTGTTTACAAAGAATGGATTTCTATAACTCAGTGTTGAGTGTTTGTGAACTGAGGATTGAAAAGTCAGGTATAAAGAGAGAGGAACAAACATTCATCAAACATGTCTTAAGTACCTGTTGAGGCACTGTCATAACTCTGGGCATAAATTACAGAGCAAACTAAGAACAAACCTTATGTGGATAGAACCTATAGGCCACTGAATAAAGATCATTTTAAAATATGTATCAGGGCTGTTCCTCCCAGAAAGAAGGATATACATCACATGAATACTGCACCCTGAAAAGCATTAGGTTAAAAAGGTCGCAGTAACAAATCACAGCTCTTGAGGTCACAAGAAGTAGAGGGATATCAAACCAGATGTGTTCTCTCATTTAAGAGCCTGAAGAGTACAGTTTCTGTGAATCAGTTAACAGAAGTCAAAGGAGGCAGCTCTATAGCTGCGTTTTATCATATAACTGTATTTCACACAAAGGGGTAAGATTTCTTCAGTTCAAAGTACAGCAGAAATGGTTACCAAACTACTTCATGAACACCAATCTGGTTAGAAGACTTCATATACACACAATAATCTCTTAGCAGCACATTGACACCTGTAAACTGGCTTAGCAGAGAATGAGCTACCTCCTGAAAAACAATGTATTTAATGGAAAAGTCATTAGGTCAATAGATGGAGAAAGAG